TTGGTGAGGAAGCTGAGACCCAGAGAGGTGAAGCGGCTTTCCCAGGATCACACAACTCACAGTGTCTGAACCCAAACCCTACACTCCCAACAACTCGCCCGGCCTGCCTGAACTGCCGTCTATGCTCTTTCCTCAGTGCCCTCTGCTGGAGTTCCCACCACCCTGTGCCTCTTTTGCCCAGAGTTGATGCTTAACCACATTCATCAATCATCCTTTCAGAGGCCAAAGGGGAAGAAAATGAAACAGTGGAAAAGAGGGCCAGGCTGGCAGAGAAAGGATCTAACTCAAGGAAGTAATTATATATTAATTGGAAAAGTCCACCGGCTTGCTCACGGATTTAGCCCCGCCGTGTCCCTGATGGATATGCGGCCCTGGCTTTCTTCCAGTGGCAAGAACCGTGTCAGAGTGTCTGCTGCAAGTCAAGTCTCTGCCACCATCCAGGTGTGCTGGCTAGCAGGTGGGGACTGCCTGGTGGGCTGGAGGCTGTGCAGGGAGAAGACATTCCTGTGAAAAGGAGGGCCTGGCGCTCCAGGATGGAGCTGCCTGGCTCCTTGACTAAACGCTAAATGACGGGCGCTGGGAGCTGAGCCTCAGTTTCCTTGTCTGTAGGATGGGTGCCACTGGGATGAGGGTGGTGTTCAAGAGCCTGTTGCCCAGGAGCAACTTCCAGCCATGTCTTGTTGGAGGCCAGAGAGGGTCAGGGTGAGGCTGCAGAGAACAGAGTCCTCTCTGATCACCCATGATGGGGAAGGGGTGCAGGGCAGGGGAGGGGTGGGGGTGTGTGTGAAGGGAGCAGTTAGGTGGATATTGAGACTTCCCCAGGCTCTGAATTAGAGACTAAATGTCACCAGGATGAAAAGTACCCAAGCTCATCACAACTCAGCTCCCCTCTCCACCCCTCATGTCTGCCCTGGGAAGAGGGATCATAATGCAGACCAAAGAGAGAAGACATGATCTCAGGGTATATAACCAGAAAGTGGTGGGGCCATGCCTCCCTGGGGCAGATGTCAGGATGTGGGGGCCCTCAGCCCCCAGAGGCCCTGGGCACCGTTTGGGTCACTCAGATTCAGCAAATAAAAATAAAGGCTGTTAAATTTTGAATTTCAAATAAACCATGAATTGTTCTTAGCATAAGTAGGCCCTGTGTTAATATCTGGTACCTACTTGTGCTAAACCTTTTGTTGGTTCTTACCTGAAATCCAGAGCTAACTGGGTCTCTCGTGTGTCACCTGACAGCCCTATGCACAGGGAAGGGCAGAAGATGGCTGGGTTTGGGGGAGGTAGAACTCTCAAGTCAGACTGCCCAAGTTCTGGTCCACTCTCAGAGCCACAAGGAGCAGGTCTGCAGCTTGAATGCGCTTCCCAGCCAGGTCTCTGAGGTTCAGCTGCTGGAAGGGTCTCCCTGGCCCAGTCCCTCCACGGTCAGAGAGGCCTTAGCTGCGAGTGGAGCCCAGTGTCCTGGGTGCCCCAGCCTGCACGCCCTGATTCCCGCCCTGCCTCTGCATCCAACACGCGCGCACACACACACACACACACACACACACACACACACACGGCAGGCCTGATGCCAGGCCAGTGCCTGAGATTATAGGTGAATGGTGAAGGTCAAGCGAGCTTCCAAGTAACCAGGTTGCTCAATCTGTGAGCAGCCTCTACATCTCTGGGTGTACATCTTGTGATATGACCTGGTACCTCTTGGGGTGGCCTGTGTGTGTCCCTCAGGGCCTGCCAGTGAGGTCTGTCTGGGGCTCTAGTCACGGCAGAAGGGTGATGGGCTGGGAGTGGAGCACTTTACGTCCACTTCGTGGTCCAGAGCCTAGTCCCCTGGGCACGCTCAAGGGCAAGGGAGACTGAAACGTGCTCCAGCCATGTGACCTGGAAGAGGGGGACCCAGGCGTGGTGCAAATGTAGTCAGACTCCTCCACCAGTGGCTGCTGGGGTGGGCCCACTGAGTGGTTAGAGTTGGGTATATTTACATAGAGTAATGGGATTTGCTAATGGATGGGGTGAGGAGGTGGAAGAAGACAGGATCCAAGACTGACTCCAGGACTGGACAGCTGACAGAGGTAGAGAAGGTGAGCCTCTGGGGTAGGGGAGAATGGGAGAACTGGGTGTTCCCTTGCCCAGCTGCCAGGGCACCCCCTGTAGGCCTATTCCTTTAGGGCCCTTGGGAAGGCCCAGATCCTGCCCTGTGGAGCCTTGAACGAGGTTTAAACTCAAGTCCAGAGGATATGTGAGTGTGTGTGCGCACACATGTATGCAAGCATATGTATGTCTGAACAACAAATAGGAACTTTATCCTCCCCAAACCCCTCCAAGTGATTTTGCTGCTGCTGGGGTGCGCGGTGTTGATGAAAGAACTTCCCAGGATGCACAAGTCCTGGCCTTTGTCTTGTTTCTGCTAGACTTGCTGTGAGCCCTTCTATAAAGTCCTCTTTCTGGGCCTCAGTTTCTCCATCTCTAAAATGAGAGGGTTGGTCCAAACCAGAGGTGCAAGCTGGTGGTCCAAAGGCCGAGTTCAGTTTGCAGCCTGCTCCGTCCTCATGGTGTTTGTCAAAATACCATAAACCGTGGGAGATTTACTTAAAATTTTGATTCAGTCTCTTGAGATTTGGGCCTTTTTAATGTCTGTTTTATTGAAAAGCTGGTTTATTTAGGAATAAAGTCTGGTTTATTTAGGAATAAACCAAAGAGCAAAAAATACCTTTGCCCAACACAGAGCCCAATATTTCTTACTGTAAGCTGTGTTTGAAAAAATCTTATAGCTATGGAAAGGATAGTAATAATTAATAATAGTAATACTTATCATTCATCCATTGCTCTGCAATTCAATGTACGATACAATCATCACTAGGAGGACCCTGTGGTATAAATATTATTGTCCTATTTTACAGACGGAGAAGCTGAGGCTCAGAGCTCAGCTGAGCTGGGGACCTCTGAGCTGGGGACCTCTGAGCAGGAGCAGGCCCAGGGTCGGGAACTAAAAGTGGGCTGAGGGGCCAGGTGACAGGCTGCCAGCTAACCTGGCAATTCTTCTAGTAGGCCTTGCTGCCCTCATGCCAGATATACTTTTCATCTGGATACTAAGGAAGGACATGGGGGTAATTTCTGGTATTTGGGGAGGCGCCTCAGAACATTCCCAATTCTCAGACACCATGAAGCCAGGAAGAGAAGGACTACAGCTTGGAAACTCTCTTTGCTCATGGTAGACTCTGGTTTTCCAGGGCAGAGATAAACTGTGACATGGGACCTATAAGAAGCTTCTGTATATTTTCTCCTCCCTTACCTAGCCACCCACTACCTATCCACCCATCCACCCACCCACTCCCCCAACCAGATGTCCACCCATTCACTTACCCACCCACCTACCCACTCCCCCATCCATCCATCCGTCCATCCATCCACTCACCCATCCATCCACTCATTGCTTCACATCCCTACCCACCGTGACACCCACGTAAAGAAGAAATAAATGGTCCAATGGAAGAAATCAACCAACCATCCAGCCATTTTATTTGTCCATGCTGTGATCCAGGCCCAGTGCTAACATTGGGGAGTTCCAACACAGCCTAGACACCAAGGGGCTCCCAGGGTGTGGGGCCATTAGGCTGTGGTCTCAGAGGTATCTGAGTTTCACCAGTGTCTGTGGGCACAGAGTTCAGAGGTGCCATCTCTTGGTGGCTCAACACAATCGCCAAAGGTCCCTGTGGTCGGCCTCACACCACACCTCACCCGCAAGCAGAGACACCTGGGGACCAGCAGATGCACAGAAACACACCCACGTGCACACCCCCCCCCCCCCCGAATCTCTCAGGCACATGGAGAGAGACACACACAGAGTTGGGTAGCTGCAGCAGCCCACACAATGTAGGCACCCCAGGACTCCAGAGGTGCTTGAAGGTGCAAAGTCACGTGACTACCCCAAGACTCCTGAGGGACACACACACACACACACGCACACACACGCGCGCATCTGCGCGTGCACAGAAATGCAACCAGACACATATTAGAATACCCACAGCCTCTCGGAGGAGAGCTCTGCAGGTTGGCAGGCACTGGATGTAGGAGCAGAGAGGCCTTGTCCACACCTCTCTGCCAGTCTGCCCTAGGACCCTGACATCCAGGAAGCCCTGCTGAGTCCTGCTGCTCATGGGACCCCTCACCCCAGCTTTTCTGCCCCATAACTGAGGACTGTGCCTCACCTCTCAGGACACATGGCAATGGCAGGGGCATCCGGCTAGGGAGCGGTCTCCCTGAACTGGTTTATGCCATGTGGTGACTCATCAAGCCCTCTGATGGTCACCCAATGCCAAGGGCACAGGCCTGCCCACCACGTGGCTCACTACGAGCTTACTGCTCAGTGGCCTTGCTCAAAAGGCCTAGGCTGGGGATCTGATTCCTGTCCCAGGTAATAACAATGACACCCCAACCCAGGCATCCAGGGGCCACTTCTGCCTGGTTGGCTAACAGAACTCGAGAACCCAGCTATGTCAGGGCCCCCATGGGAACCAGGCCTCGTTCCTCCTTACCCCAAAGCAAGTACCAGAATTAAGAAGAAGCACAGGCCATGGAATGATACCGGCAGACTCAATATAAATAAAATATTCATATAAAAATAGTCTCTTACAAAATATTCTCTCTTATCCAGTGGCTCACTTTCCAAAAGATGGAAACTGTTGGGAGTTTTATTATTATCTTTCCTCTCTCTCTGTATTCCAAACTGGATTCTTCTACTGGTGTAAGTTTGAGCTGGGGAGGACTAAAGGATGGAAATCGTAATCTGGGAGATGTCTCCAAATCTGGACCAGCTTAAATTTCTGGATAAGTAGCAGCAAACAGCAAAAAAATATAAACGTGTGTGTATATATATCTATATATGTATAAAGGACGTCTGCTTTTAAACATCTAGTGCTGGGCGTGGGTGGGGAGGTACTCGCAAAATCAACTAGTAGAAATATCTGCATAAAGGATAGTTATTTACAGTTCTACTTGGCTCCTTGTCCTAGCGACAAAATTATCCCGCAAAGAAAGCAAGCGGTCCACTTTGATTGCAGAAAACGGATCCCGATGAGGTGGAAGGATTCTTTTTAATTAAATAAATTAATATTATTTTTTTATCAGAATAAATTGTTAAATATTGCTATGTTGAGGCCCCTGGGTCCAGAGCTCCTGGTGCAAAAGGCTCTGCTCCAGCCGAGGAGGACCCCCTCCCCTGTCGAAGTGTGGGGTGGGGCGGAGCAGCAGTGAGTATGGAAGAGAAAAGTCCAGGGCTCTGGGGAGATCTTTCCACCTGGTGCCTGCGGGAAACCTGGGAGCGGTGTCCCCACAGCAGAAAAGACAAGCTCAGCATTCCTCCCGCGGAGATCCCAGAAGAGACCCGCCGGGGTGACTGCAGCTGGGAAGCTGTCCGGTCCCCCCTGCGGTCTGACTTGCGGCTGGAGGTGCCCAGCCAGCCCCAAGGGCGACACTGCTGAGTCCCGGGCTCACTTGCACGTGTACACCTCGGTGCGCTCGCTGCAGGTGTTGCACTTGACGTAACAGCACCAGTGGAACTTGCAGTTGCACTGCCACACGCGGGCGTACTGGTGGGTGTTGTAGCCGCGGCCACAGCACATGAGGTCGCAGCCGCTGGCCTGCGGGGCTGTCTTGTTGCAGGCGCGGCCCTGCGTGCCCACGCTGCCCGTCACCGGGTCCTCCTCACAGTAGTTGGGTGACTTCTCGATGTACACCAGGTCTGTGTCCATGGGCTTGCGGTACGACAGCGGCTTCTTGATCTTCAGGAAGGTGGGCCGCTTGTTGCGGCTGGCACGCACGGGCTCCACATGGACCGCCTCGTTGTACTTGTCCTTGAGCACATAGCCCAGCTCCCGGAACTGCGGCAGCGTCGTCCAGCATGTCTTGGTGGTGCACGAGCCGGACACGCCGTGGCACTTACACTCCAGCTTCATGTTTTCCTCCAGGATCTGCAGGGGTGGGTGGGGAAGAGCACAGCACCCGTCACTGCACGCATTGGCCTGGGGTGGCCCCCAGCCCAGCCCACCCCTGCCCTGCCATGCCCAGCCTAGCTGGTTCCTGCTTTTATGGTTCTTTGTGGTGGGGGAACTCAGACCTGGATTCAAATCCCTCTCACCGGTGCTTCTACCTGGAGCCCACTTGCTCTCCCGGTCCCTCCCAACTCCTATCTGGTGATTAGATTGGTGCTCAAATGCGTTCAGGCCAGTCCAGGACACACAGAGGGATCTTTTTGACCTGGGCAGGTTTATTTTATTTTGTTTATTTATTTATGTAAGAGAGGGAGAGAATGAGTGAGCAAGTACAAGCAGGGGAGGGGCAGAGGAAGTGGGGGAAGCAGACTTCTGGTTGAGCAGGGAGCACCAGGAGGGACCAGATCCCAGGACCCCAGGATCATGACCTGAGCTGAAGGCAGACGCTTAACCAACTGAGCCCCGCACCAGGTGCCCTTGGCCTGCACAGGTTTAAAATCATTTTTGAACCAACATTTAAAAACCAGCAGATAGACTTCCAGGGTCAGTCAGTTGGTTGGTTGGTTGGTTTCTGTGTTTTGACAAATAGAAAGGGCATCTGGTAACTCTAGGATGAGATTCAAAGCATTTACTAACTGGTATGGCTGAGGGCGGACCTGCTGGGTGGAAAGCTGACCACACATGGCAGCGTGGCAGCCCTGCTCACCACAGCCTTTGTCAGCACTGTCACAGGGCAGTGACACCTGGAGCTGTCCCAGCAGCTGCCTCCTTCACTGGCTGGTGTCCCTCAACTTGCCATAGTCCCCACCTCTCCATATTGCCTCCCTGACCTCGAGCTTGTATTTTCAGAGGTCATCTGCTTGACCACTTAAGACATCTGCCAGGCACGGTGAACACCCAAAGATGGGAACCCTGGCTCTGATTTAGCCTTCCCGGGCTATGTCCCATTCCCCTGGATGTCCCTGGCAGCTTTCTCTGACCTCCAGGCTATGTGGGGTACCTCTTTTTCTGAGTTCCCAATTCCCCTCAGGCTCCCATTGCCCTAGCACTGAGACGCAGCGTTGTATGAGGAATGAAAAGCACAGATGCTGGACCCTGGGTTTAAATCCCAGATCTAACACGAACCTGCTGTGTGCCCTCGGGCAACTTCCTTGAGTCCTCTGTGCTGCAGTTTCCCCTTGTGCAAAATGGGAGTGACAATTGATATTAATTGTAATCATACAATAAAACACTTGATAGCAACAGAAAAGAATGAACTAATACACACAGGAAGAACAGATCTCTAAGACGTAATGCTGAGAGAAAGAAGTTGGATGCTGAAAAGAACATACTATGTGATTAAACAGATGTGAAGTTGAAGGACAGGCAAAGCTAATGCCTGGGTTTCATTCTTCTCTACTTACTCGGACAGTGGGCCACAGATGGCCCGTGAGCCATATTTTGCTGATCCCTGCCTTGGAATATCCATGCAAGCAAAGGAGACAACATTTACCAAACCCCCGTGGTACTTGGTATTTAGGTTGTTATTAGGCTTCGGGATTTGTTCTTTTAAAAATCTCTTCACTCCTTCCCTTCTTTCTTCTTTCTTTTTTAAAACTATATTATAGAAGGAAATATCTTTGGAACTAAAGCTTCTCTTCCCTTATCATCTTCAGTCTGATTTTATCCCAGTGGACATTTATGAAGGTCCTACTGTGTACCAGACACTAGGGTGGGAAGGTACTAGTGAGCAGTTTCTGGGTCACAGTGTCTGAGCATTTTCATGGTCTCCATCTGGACTGTCAAATTTACTTTGCTTGTTATATAGTGAAAAAAAAAAAAGTGGATTAATGAGTAAATACCTAAACATTTATTAATCACATGTACATGCACTGGGCCCATGCTTCTGTAAGTGGCATCGTTTAACTCCATGAGGTTAGTATGATTCCATTTTACAGGGGTAAAAACTGAGGCTCAGCTAAATCCTGGAGCTGGTCTGTGGGGCATTCAGAGGCAAAGATTTTACTGCTGAGGGCTGTGAACCAACTGCTTGAACCAACTGCCGCTTACTTGCTTTGTGACCTTGGAATTGTCACACCCCCTCTCTGGGCCTCAGCTGCCTTCACTGAAGCATGGAATGAAGGCAATTCCATCTTTTCTGGCAAAAGTCAGGGTGCTGGAACAGAATCAGACATTCAAAAAATAGTCATTAGCTCTGTCTCTGGGCCTGGGCCAATGCCGGTGCTGGGGATACAGAGGTGGCAAGATCTGGTTCCTGTCCCCAAGAATGCGCATGTGTTCAGGGTCCTCCCCGTCCTAAGAGCTCTGCTTCCAGGAGGAGGGGACCAGTGCTTGGGTCAGTGGTCTCACAGGGAAGGGAGCACCACCCTGTTTAAACCACGGTATCTGTAATCCGAAGAGCCAGCAATGCCACAAGCATCCAGAATGTTCAGGGACAGAGCTTTCACCCAGCTGAATGCTCCGATTCCAGGACACCTAGTGGGACAGAGCACCTCCTGGGTGAGCAGCCCCATCAAATAACACAGATGTCCCTTTTGGGTGTCAGTGAGGATATAGTTCCTAAGAGTCCAGCCTTCCTTCCTGCCTTGGCTTGAGAAGCGTGGGAAAAGAGCACAGCTCAGGGGTGTGGTGATGCGCTTGGGGGCAGGGTTAGGTAGCAGGTTCCGGCTGACTGAGATTGCAGTGTAGTCAGACATTTCAACACGGACATGCTGGGGGACAATCAGAATGGATTCTGACGCTCCTGAGGATGCGGGGCCAGCGGGGTGTGCACACATGGCGGCGTGGCGTCTCATAACACGTGCTGACCTACGGCTCAGAAATCTCACTTCCAAGCCATATACTTGAGAGAATGAAATGCTCATGTGCACAGGAAATAGGTTCAAGGATGTTCATAGCAGCAGCAGTGATGGACGTATGGAGACTGCCCAGTGTGGATTCATGGTGTCTTCACACTGGGCGCTCTCTGTATGTCCAGCGTGGTGGGATGGATAAGCTAAGAGGTGCGCTCATCAGGACCCTACAGGACAGTGACAATGAACAGCTACAGCAAAGCACACCAACAGAGGTCAAGCTCAGAAATACAGTGGGGAGGGCAAAAAGCAGTCGGAAAAGATGTCCCTGGGGTGAATTCATGTATATCAAGTTCAAAGGTAGGCAAAAGTGGATCGTATGGTTCAAGGCCACCTACAGAGGGGGAAAGTATAATAAGAAGTCAAAAAATGAGGGTCACAAATACCAAGACAGTGGCTGTTTCTGGGGTGGGGCGTGAGGGGCTGTGGTTGACAAAGGTCACCTGGGGCACTGATGCTTTATAATCTTTCTTTTAAATAGCACAAATGTCCCATGAGCTTTTTTGCATAAAAGCTATATGTCACAATTTATAAAAATGCAGTGGGTCCAAAAGCCACTAAGCACTAAGCTCAACATCATTTGCATCAGGTAAATGCAAATCAGAATAGCCACTTCCCACCCTCTAGGATGGCTGACAGAAGAAATACAGATATGACAAGTGTTAGCAAGGGTGTGGAGAAATGGAAACCTTGACACACCATCAGTGGGAATGTGAAATGGAGCAGCCCTGTGGTTCCCCAAAATGTGAAACATAGGGTTATCATATGGCCCAGTGCTATAAACTGAATGTTTGAGCCCACCCCCAAATTCATGTGTTGAAATCCTAGTAAGTGGAGCCTCTGGGAGGTTCTTAAGTCTTGAGGATGGAGCTGTCGTGAATGGGATGAATGCCTTATAAAAGAGGCTCCAGAAAGACCCCAACCCCTTCCACCATGTGAGGTCACAGTAAGACGGCACTGGCTTTGAACTGGAAAGAGGGTGCTCACCAGAAGGCGAGACGCTGGTGCCTTCATCTTGGACTTCTAGCCTCCATAACTGTGAGACATAAATGTCTGTTGTTTATACATCACCCAGTCCGTGGGACTTTGTCATAGCCTCCTAAAAAGACTAAGACACCCAGTCAGCAATTCTGCTCCTAGGTATATACTCAGGAGAAATGAAAACATACGCCCATACAAAAACTTGTAAACCAATGTGAACAGCAGCATTCCCCATAATCACCAAAGAGTGGAAACAACCCAACTGTCCATCACCTGATGAACGGATACAGAAAACATGGCACAGGCACACACAATGGAACATTATTCGGCCACAAAAAGGAATGAAGCGTGGACACATGCTACAACACGGATGGACCTTGGAAGCATCGCGCTCAGTGACAGAAGCCAGACCCAGATTGTATGGCTGCATTTACATGCGATGTCCAGAAGAGGCACATCTACAGAGACAGAAGGTAGATTAGTGGTTTGGGAAGAGCCTGGGGGAAATGAGTGTCTGCTGGGGGTTACAGGTTTCTCTCCGAGATAATGAAAATACTCGAAAATGATGACAGTGGAACACATCTGAGAATACGTTAAAAAAAAAAAAAGCAAGGAACTGTACACTTTATATGAGTGCCCTGGATGGTGTGTGAATTATACCTTAATAGACTGGGTTCTCTAAAAAATCCTTGAAGGTTTTAGTAAAAAAGCAATAGGTGGTATTTTTGAGGCTGTGACACCGACTGTTTTCATTCAGCGGATGCTGGGCCAGGACCCCCAGTGCCGAAGGTCAGACTCTGGGGTCAGGCTGGGTATGGCTGCAGCTCCCACTTCATGGAGCCTCCCGCACACTGCCTCCCTCTTCCTGTGAGGCCACAGCTGGCCTGAGGCCATCGCAGTATTTGTGTGGGGCCCTCATCAGATGATGTCCAGCCTGTGAACCCAGCAAACTTTGCATTTTCAGAGCCCCGGTGATTGCATTATATCTGTGCTAAGCTGGGCATAATCACAGCCGCCCTGGCCAGAACTGGCCACCCAGACGGGCATCCGGATGGGCACCCAGCCCTCTGCCCGAGGCAGGGGACAAGAGCAGAGGAAACAAGTGTGGGACAAAGCCACATTCTTTGCACCCCCTGACCCCACCCC